CACTGCTGCAACAGCAGTAGTGGGTACCTCTGTGGTGAACAAACAGCAAAGTGTTGCGCAGGAAGTCTCGATTTAGACATCGAGCAAATACTTCTGCGGCGGAGATAGGAGGGACGACAGCGAAAGTCGACCGGGAACCGTAGTCCTATTCACCGATTCCCTTAGTGAGGAAAGGGTATCAGGAGCGGGGTCGCGAATTGGCCTACAACCGGAGTTCTATTCACCAATTCTCTATCTAAGTCAGAAAAGGGTTTCAGAAGCGGCGTCACGAATCGGCAACCGGAGTCCTCTATATCAATAGAAGGAGCGGGGCTGGAAAAATCTCAGCGACAGATAGCTGAGTAATACACCAACAAAAATATTAAAGACGAGATCATCAGGATAAAACCAGAAATGGAAGCAAAATCGGAAACTGGAGGCGGAGGCAGCATCTGGAGTGATGGATCCACAAACCTGGCCAACGTCATCAGAGGACTCCCCAAGTTCGATGGAACGAAACCAGAGGACTTCAACGACTGGATGAAGAAATTGGGTGTAGTCGTCGGCGTTACTCGGAGGGACATCATGCCACTTCTCAAGGGAATGCGCAAGCCTGATCCCTCGGACACCACCTTCGCCGCATACGAGAGAGCAAACGAAGACCTGTACGCAATCCTATTCTGCCTCGTCGAACTGCCGGCTGCACTAACCGTACACAAGCAGGAAGACGACACCGGCCTTAGCGGCGACGGGCAGGCAGCATTCACGGAACTGAAGGCCAACTACAATCGAGTGACAGACGAAGTGATCAGTGCTAAGCTGAACGACCTGGAAAGGACGGTCATGGAGCCAGGAGAGAACCCGGACGATTTTTTCAACAAGAAACACCGCCTCCGCTCTCAACTAGAGAAAATGGGGGAAACCATCTCCGATCGCCGCTTCAAGGACATCTGTGTCCAAGGTTTCTCCGAGGACTACAAGTTCATCAAGATGATGGTTTTCCGCGACCCATCATTCGACGTACAACAGATGCAAGCCACCATGCGCAACATCTTCCTTGACGAGCAAATGCGCAAGAGAACCAAGGGCCAAATCGCTGGCCGCGGATTCGCCATGGCTACCAAGACATCTGGCCCCATCTGCTTCGAGTGCAACGAACCGGGACATGTCAGGAGGAACTGTCCCAATCGCCAGCGGGAGGGCCATAGGGCAAAGAAGACGAAGCCTGCGGGAGCAACCAAGTGGTGCTCCGTCCATAACACCACTACACACTCCGACGAAGAGTGTTACAACCAAGGAGCCAAGCGACCAGAACGCACGGGCAAGGCCTTTTCTGCATGCACACACTGCGTGCACTGCTCAACCCAGTCAAGAGAAACACACGCCAAGCCTACCACACCGGAAACTCCCAAAGAAACAGAGAAGACCGAGAAGGCAGGATTGACTTCTCTTACGAGAAGATACATTCAAGGGTGGATTCATGTACCATGCTACATGCAGCAAGGGAAGCGGACGCACTTTCACGACAACTGCAACTGGGACTTCCGCGCTGGTGGATTCTGGAGCTTCTGAGACCATGTTCGACAACCGCCTCATCCCGAATGGACGTCTCGAAGAAGAACGCCCGACGCCCAAGATCATCGACGTTGCAGGAGAAAGCCAACTACGAGGCACTACCACTGGGATCCTACACTGCACCATCAAAGACGACAAAGAACAGCAACTACCCGTCAAGCTACAAGGTCTCATCGTGCCAGGACTAGGCCGGAACATCTTCGCACCAACGGCCCTTCTCAAGAAGGGTCTCCGATGTGTCCTGGAAGACAAGACCCCACGCCTCACCATCGGCGGAGCAGTCGTCGTTGTCGTTCCTCTGAAACAAGAGACTCAACACCAAGGCATGTGCACCCTCGCCATCACATTCAAGGGCGATCCAGCGTCGACAAGCAAGACACCCCCGAACAACCAAGA